ATCGGAACGCTGTGTTTCAGGAGGCAATCACACCCCTTAGATTAACTATCACTTCTGGCCAGAAGATCACGTTGCACATTTATAGACTGGAGTCGAAATAAATGGGCAGATTTTCACCAGCCACCATATTGTGTCCAAATGGCAACACTCATCAGAAGCTAGTAAGAAACCCAAGGGAGGGGATGCGAGCAAAAAGGATATCCACCATACAATACAGGAGTCTATCAACGCAAGAGAAATCTCACAGATGGTCATGGCTGCCGTAGAGTGCTCCTACGGAGGAACATCATTCGTTAAAATAACTAGCATAGTAACATAATGAATCCTATATCATATACTGCACAAAATGCATTAGCTGCTTTTCACTTTGAGGGGGAAGCAATGCTCTACCTCATACCAATGTGTTGTCAGATATTGCAGACAAACCTCCTGAGTCTCACTGCAACAACAGGAAAGTGCAGAAGTGAAGTTTAGCACTCGTATGTGACCCTGGAAGAGGCTAGTTAACACTGATGGAGGTTAACACATTGTATAGATAAACTTCTGTGATACACAGTATCAATTTTTACTAGAGGCAGGTTTCTAATTGTACCATAACCAAGATAAACACTTGGTGCTGCACAAAACTGCCAAGTCTCAGCACATTGTTGTTTAATTGGAGTTTGATATTGAAAATTGCAAAATCCAGATTGAGTTACAAACAGCGCAAGTGCCCCAAGTAACAAACTTTGTGTACAGCTGAAACAGCTCCAGAGAAACAATAATCTGGGTCTGTATGCAGCAGCAATACCATCATTCACCTCGTAAACATTGTCCCTTCCAGATCCCACATAATCCAAGTGCAGCACCTTAAAATTAATTGAATGTGGGTACTCACGTTCCTAATTGCCCTACAGAAAGTGGTGAGATTTTCTTTTAGAGCTTCTGTAATTCAAATGAAACATTTGTTTTGTCCAACCTGCACACAGACAAGACTTGCAGGGGAGAATAGGTGGTAGTGTTCCTACGTACCTGATGCTTCTGCCCTCCTTGGTGGTGAAAATTGCGGGCTTAGGAGGTGCTATTGAAGAGGACTTGACATGCTGCAGTGTATCCTACGTGGTACATCAAGAGCATACTAGTTATTGCAGCATGAAAGATCCTATCTGTGTCACCAGCTCTCCTCTACTTCCTCCAAATTCAGCACTCATCAGTACAGCACAGGAACAGGCCCTTTGGCCCATCATGTCTGTGCTGACCACAATGCCATTCTAAACTAATTCCATTTGTCTGCACATTGTCTGTATCCCTCTGTTTGCTGCCTATTCATGTGTCGGTCTAAATGCCTCAAACTTTGCTGATGAATCTCTGTCTATCACTTCCCCAGGCACCGAACAGTCCATGCAAAAAACTTTCCTCGCACATCTCCCTTAAACATTTCCCCTCTCAGATTCTGCCTATTATTTGATATTTCCACCCTAAGAAAAAGACTCAGACTATTCACCCCATCTAGGCCTGTTATAATTTTATACACCTTTATCAGGTCACTCCTCAATCTCCAATGTTCCAGCAAAACCACAGGTTTGCCCAACCTCTCATTATAGCTATTACACTCCAATCTAGACAACATTCTGGTAAACCTCTCTCGCACCCTCTCAAAAGCCTCTGCATCCATCCAGTTGTGTGGGGAGCAGAACTGCATGCAATACTCCAAATCTGGCCTAAGTTTCAGACAGCTGCAATACGACTTACCAACTTTTACACTCAAGGCCCTGACAAGCATGCCACAAACACCCTCTTTACCATCATATACCCTTGTTTTGCCACTTTCAGGGAGCCTGAGACCCCTCTGGATATCAGTGTTCCCAAGGATCCTGACATTTACTGTAAACTTTCCTCCTGCATTTAACCTCCCAAAATGCATCACTTCACATCACCGCCTAACTTTCCATCTGACCTATATCCTGTTGTATTCTTTGATATTCTTCCTCACTATCCACAACTCCAACTTTCGTGACATCTGCAAACTTACTAATCAGACCACCTACACGGTCATCCAAATCATGGACATATATTATAAACAACTGAGGTCCCAGCACTAATCCTTGTGGAAAACCACTGGTCACAGACATCCTGTCAAAAAAAAAATCACCCCCTCCACATCTACCGTGTGGACGGGGGGGGGGGGGGGGGGGGCACAAGGGCAGAGGACGTGGGGGGCAAGGGTTCCTTGGGAAGATAATAATTTAGCACAGCTACTGCAAACCACTAAACAGGAATCAAACATACTACTTCTTTTATAATGTTGCTTTGATACTGTCAAGAGTGCAGTACTCAACTGGGGCCAATGGCAAGTTTCTGCTTCAGAGAAGCGTGTAAATAGTCTGTCTCTGCAGAAACCACACCGGTTTCCACTGCGGGTTAGATACCCTGAGCCAATTACACATCTGGCCTTGGAAAAGGATTGTCATTTGGAAAAGGCAATTTTTGCTCTTGACTAGATCTCTGAAATAAAAGTCACACAAATCAACAAACGCGCTGAGGCTGCCAGAGCAAAACAATTCTAGTTCAGCAAATGTTCTTACCACAGCAACTCGTAGGACTCCCTCTACTGATGAAAATAACAGGTACAGCAGGCCAATTCCAATGACTTGACTTGAAGTGGTTCCCAGCCTAGGTCTGTTTAAAAATGTGCATTTATATTGTTTTAACAGCAGAAATGGCTTGCCTTCAGATTTTTTAAACAAAAATTCAACTGCTTTTGGACAGCTTCCACTGCCTAGAAGAAGCCAATTGTCAAGAAGATGCAGTGAGGCTGAGGGGAACTAGCTACCACCTTGGAACCTACTCTTTCTGTTTGAGCTTAGACACTAAACATCGATTGTGTTATAAAGTGGGAGGTCAAACCCCTCTGATAATTAAACCAAAACACAAGCCCCCAAACTGTTTTGGCGGGATTAGAGGTTCCTTCTAATAATTAAACCCGAAACACCCAGAGAAGCTCGCCTTGCTTTTACAATTTATTAAGAAGAGCAGTTAAATGAAAGAAAATCCCCAATATTTACATGATAAATAATAAGTAACTATTTATTTAACCTTAACAGTGACCAAATTAACAGAATTACTAAAACTGAACAATTCCCCCCTTGACCACTAACTATTTCCTAACTGAACTAAATTCTACTGGTATGCTGTTCAATAAACACTAGTCCCACTTTCATAAATCCAAGGAATAAGAAAATAAATTTTAAAAAAACTTGGTCTTTCTTCTGTTGTTCTCAAATCAAACACCTTTCTTTCACTGATCCGGGTCAGGGATGTTTTCTCTGAAGTCTTCTGACAGGATGCCAGCTAGAAGTGCTGTGGTACATCTTATGGATAGATTTTGCTTTCTTAGAGAGCTTAGCGATTTCTTGTGAGAGCTAGATGCTTATTTAGCAGATGGCCGTTTGCTCTCACACTGATCTTCAAAAACCCTCTCCTTATAGACCTTGAATGATATCAATTTTCTCACAATAACATTGTTCCAAGGTTGTCAAAACTATCAGATTTAAATTCAAGTGGCTTTCAATCGCTAAGTGCTTGGTTTAAATTAATTAGCTGATTCCAGCTAGCTGCCAAAACAAGCCTAAGGTTTCCAATCACACAGCCAATTGATACGCAAGCTTAGAAAAGTACTTTAACCTCTTAAAGGAACCACGCACTCTTCCTTATTTTTCACTAACAAATTCTAGCTTCCTGCCTCTCAATTCACGATTACTCTACACAACTTTGTAATAATTAGCTGTCTGAAAGAGCTGACATCTTGATTAGTGGCTATGCCAACCTGAGGACCTCACAAAGTGCAAAGCAAGCACTTCACCCAATTCTGTTAAAAATACCATCAAAAACCTTAATTATTGACCATTTCTCTCTTGGTGTGAATACTTCCTGTATTTTGTACTCTTGTTGTAGATTTCCAGTGTCTGCAGTATTGTAATTCATACAAAGCAGTCCTCACTTGCTTTTCTCCATAAATAGTGGCGCTACAAATCAATGCATCCACCTAAATGGCAGATGGTGCCCTCAGTTTAACATCTTATTAGCACTTCTTCAGTACTGCAGTGAACTGTATTCCAGATTTGGTACTCAAAGACCTGGAGTGCGCCTTGAAGCCGCAAGTTTACAATTTAGAGGCTACCAACTTTTTCTTTTATTCATTCGTGGGATGGGGTCATTGACGGCTAGGCCATCATTTATTGCTCATTTACCAAGCTATGACCTGAACCGTGCTATGCCCAACAGTCACTCAGCATTTGGAAAATGGAGTTCTAGCTGATTTCCCAGTCCTGGTCTTCCCTTAGCTGTGGATTCACAGTTCCGATTGGTACACATCCATAATCAAGCAATTTGATTCAGACTGAGGGTTGTATCAGAGATTATTCTAGACCACATAAATTCAGTTTTGCAAAAACTGCAATTTATAATACGCAAGGCAACCAAACAGTAACCGAAGAAATAATAAATACATATCTTACTTGACAATACCATAGCCAAGTGCTGCGATAATGACCAGGATCCGGGCAAGGGTACGTTTCACAGCTGATAGTAGCTCTGCAAAAATCACTGCACCATGAACTGCAAAAGAGTTTTAAAGTAGAGTTGGATTTAATTTGTGGCAGAGTAGATCAATATTAATTGACTGTGTTATAGCCCGAAATATATCTACGAATAAACTGGAATCTTAAATTATATTCTCAAAATATAGGATTGAAAACAAGAGAAATTTTTTTTTTGTTTTTTTTTTTTTTAAAAACGAAGTTCCCTTTTACTCCTTGCTCCCAAAGTAGCTGGAGGTTCATGCTAGTCCATTGGACTGGCATTCCGCTAACATCTTGCCCACGTTCTTTATGAACTGCCTCACAATGAATGCCAGAAAGCTAGGATTGTGCAGGGCTCAAGCTAAGCTCAAAGTTTCCCCCATCCAGATACCTGCAATGTCGCAGTCAAACAAGAGTGGCTGACATCCTCCCCACCAACTACCTAAATCCAGTATTAATGCATTTTAATTTCAGCGACCAAAGTGAATAACTTTACATCATCAGCTTGACCAGTTACCTGATACTCCTTGCTGAGAGATTGTATGGAATTCTGCATAGAAGACCGATTTCTCCAACATCCCTAGCAGGATGACACCACCAATCCAGTATTGAATCCGAAGCAAGTCCTTCCAGTAACAAGCCAACAGGAAAAGCCAGACAACACTGTAGAGCACATAGATGATACACATCACCATGTAAAACTGCAGAAAGAAAAATAGCAAGTGAGGCGTATGATTCCACGTGCCACTGCAACAGGTAGTTATTCAAAGCTATTAGCAGTAACAGTGTAAACAGAGGTGGCAGATACAAAATGAAAGAGGCAATGCACAAAATTAATTGCGTTTTGCTGTCTTGTTGTCTTGATGTAGCTTTCTCTGTCATTAAAGAGACATAATTATTAAAAAAAAACCAAAGAACTGTGGTTGCTGGAACAGAAACAAAAAAATTGCTGGAAAAACTCAGCAGATCCAGGAACGTCTGTGGAGAGAAAGCAGAGTTAACATTTCAGGTCCAGAGAACCTTCTTCAGACATAAATAATACTTCATTCTGCCATTCTAGTGTTTCCAGAACTGATCATGGATTTGCAAAGGGAAGATCATGCTCAATAAACCAAATCAAATATATTGTTGAAGTACTGACTGAAGTATGCTACGGGGGATGTCTATGGATGTTAATTGCCTGAAGACATTTAATAAATTCCCTCAGAAGGGACTGAGTGCTGAAAATGAAGTAGAAGGTATTGTGGCAAGGTTATTGAACTGACTCGGAAATTCAACAAACAGAAGGAGATGGAGAGTAAGCATAATGGGCAGCCACTCTAATTGGGGCCTCAACTACGCAGTGCAACTGTTTAGAAAATAGATTTCAGATAAGTTTACTAATGACACAACAATGGATAGCATCTCAAAAAAAGGCAACCAGATGATAGGGCTCTCAGTGAGACAGGTGCTGGTGGGTCAATCGGAGGGTCGTTACACCTCAGGCAAGGGGAGATGTGGAGGAGGAGGAGCATCCTTTATAGCAACTTCAGCCAGCACGGGAATTGAACCCATGCTGTTAGCATCACGCTGCATTGCAAACTAGCTGTCCAAATCAAAATATTGATTAAGTGAATAAGCAAAACTGTTACAAATGGATTTCAATGTAGGCAAAAGATGAGGTCATACACTTTGGAGCTCAGAGAATAGAACAGAGTACTTTCGAACCACTGAAAAGAGGAGAACCACTGAAAAGAGGAGAACCACTGAA